GTACGGCTTAGCGTGCGTTCATTTTTTACTAATTATTCATTATGTATTAAGTATAGTACCTAGTAATGTCATCAGACACTCAAGAAAGCTGAACATCCAGAAGTGGAAGAAGCTTTTTACATGTGGTTTCTTCAGAAAAGAAATAGGCTTGCACCAATTTCAGGACCCATGTTGGCCATGAAAGCTAAGTTTTTTTATAAGGAAATAACAAAGAAAAATGATTTTGTGGCCAGCAAAGGATGGCTAGAACGTTTTAAAAGTCATCATGGCATACGTTTAATGACTATTACAGGAGAGAAACTTTCTAACGATGCCACCTGCATAGAGCCCTTTAAATTAAGATTTTTGCAAAAGGTGAACGATTTAAATCTTGACCCGTCACAGGTGTACAATGCAGACGAATCAGGGCTTTTTTGGCGTATGATGCCTAACAAAGCTTTCGTTTCTTGTAACGAAAAATCCGTGCCTGGACGAAAAGTAAGTAAAGAGCGTGTAACCATACTACTATGTGCTAACGCTGCGGGCACACACGCGCTTAAGATGATGGTCATTGGGAAATCTAATAAACCACGGGCATTCAAAAACATTCATTTACCTGTACACTATTACGGACAAAAAAGTGCATGGATAACAAAAGACCTTTTCAATAAGTGGTTTGATGAATGCTTCGTACCTGAAGTTAGAAAATGGTTAAAAGATCATAATTTTCCTCAAAAAGCGTTGTTGCTTCTTGATAACGCTCCCGGTCATCCGTCTGAAGAAGAACTAACAACTGAGGATAAATGCATCACTGCGATGTTTCTTCCGCCAAATTGCACTGCACTGATTCAACCAATGGACCAGAATATCATTCAGTTTGTCAAGCAAGACCATAAGAAAAACCTACTTCTGAGAGCCGTATCAAAAGACCAAAAAATAGAAAAAACTTTAAAAGACTTTAATATGAAAGACTTGGTTTTTGCTCTTTGTCGGTCGTGGAATGCGTTACCGCCATCAACTATTAAATCGTCTTGGAAAAAGTTATTTCCAGTGAAGTAAAAACCCTAAAGTCGCACAACTTGTTTATAGGCCAAAGAAGTGCCATTATTAACTCCACTGCAAAAGAAAAATCGGCTTAGATGGGCTAAAGAACATAGACAATGGACTGAGGCAGTATGTCATCAAAAGGAGTAGGAAAACTTCATTTTATTGATGGAAATGTGGATACAAACAAATATTTGGCAATTTTAGAAGAATCGCTTTTACCAGTGATGGAAGAATGTTTGACATCCGGCCAAGATTCTGTGTTTCAACAAGATAGTGCAGCGTGCCATACTTCAAATAAGGCTATAAAATGGATGGAAGAAAATAATCTACCACTTTTGAAATGGGTTTCTACCAGTCCAGATCTGTCACCTATTGAAACTTTGTGGCACGAGATGAACAACATCCTGCTCGTACAATCACCAAACTGAGACAAAAGCTTCAAGAAATATGGGATTGTTTTACACCAAATTTTTGCCAAAACTTGGTTAATACTATGCCCCAAAGAATTTCAGGCGTAATAAAAAATAAAGGTGATGTTACCCAATGGTAATCTTTCAATTGTTGCTTTATTAACTTCGCACATTTATTCGCACATTGTTTATTTGTTCAGATGTTCTATTATTTATAGGTCTAAGTATGTATTTTTACGACTAGAGTGTATGTAAAACGTTTTTGAGAAAATAAATTGTTTTAGAAGTAAATAGTCTCGTCAAGTTTAGTTTATAAAGGCATATTTTGGTACAAATTGTGAAGTGGGCCAACTGAAGTGGGAAGGGGCTCGTAGATATTTAATGCTAAATTGCATTCTTCAATTATTACATTAATTTTCTCGGACAATAGAACGGTTTTTATTTTTTTATTCAAAAAATCGCGCATCGAAGGAAAACAATTCAGGAGATATCATTTGTTTTAAGTTGAACGGGAAATTCAAAAATACCTTTTTTTTGCAAAAAACCATTGACGTACCATTTTTTTCTTAGAAAATATCGAAGTCAATACCTGTACGCACGCCACTATTAAAATTAAAAAATATTTTTGTATTGAAAAATATGCAACTTTATTAACTTTTACTGCGTACTAAATATCAGTGAAATACCTGAAGCGGTTCTGAAAATATTAATTAATTTCCATTTTTTCCCTAAAACTTCGACACCTCGAGTTTTTGTAAGGAATCGTTTTTGGACCATAGTTTATGAACATTAATTTCTCATATAGATTCACACCCTTAAAAATTCGCATATCATCACCTCTAAAAAAGCTGATAATTTGTGTCAAACATGATCCAGAAAACTTCAACGCATTCAATTATCATCATGATTATAACACCAGAAGCTCACATTTATTGCAAGTACCGGTACACAGGTACTGTACAAGGTTATCTAGGACTGAACTCAATTACAGAAATTATTTTATCAAGGTTTGCGTCTATGTTGATCTTGGAAATTTTTCTATGCTATCAAAAATTTTTCGAAAGTTGGCTATAACTCAAATTATCGAATTTTTAACTTCCCACAATAAATGTCTATAGGCTCGAGCTCGTATTTTTTTTATTACCCTCTCAATACAAATAAGACGTTTCTCCGGTTTCATGTTAACTACCAACACCTCAAACATGCAAGTGCTGAGTAACAATAATACTGACCGTAGACTTGACAGTATAATTTTATTTTCTCAAAAATGCTTTGTCTTTTCCGAAAATAACGGGAGCATTGTATAAGATTATTGGGAGGAGGTCGTTTAGTGAATGATGTAGCTTTAATTTATAATGTTGATCGGTCCTCGATATACCGTTTAAAGCGTCGATATCAGGATACCGGGGAAACGTCCTCCTTGCATGAAGGAGATAATCCAGAATGGATTTACCTAAATTTACCCTAATGCGCCAATACTACCGAGTTAATCTACTTGACAACGTTCCTCACATTCGCAATCAGCATTGCAAATCACCGTCCTACTTGTGACTCGGAAAAAAAGAAGAAAAACGAATAAAACCCTCGGCATCAGCCACGGTGTCGGAAGCATTCTCGTTTGAATGACTATTGACAAAAGCATTGTAATTTCCTGCCGTATCCTCAGCAACAGCGATAAAAACTTGTTTTGTTATTTTTTGTTGACAATGACAAGAATATCAGTACGACAGCAAACATCATCGTACGGTTAAAATATTTTTATTTAGTATTCGGTTTTAGTGCTAGATACTGTTTGGACTATTTTTAAAATGGTCAATTCTCGTCCATTGGAAGAAAAAATCGAAGTGATTTTATTTATGGTGCGACGCGTAACTATCACGAGACCGAAAGTATTTTTAATGATCGTTTTCCGAATCGTTCTACCTGCAAAAAATATTTAAGGGAACTTGTATCTAAATTTACAGCTACTGGAAGTGTAAACAACAAAAATCCCCCTGGTCATCCGACCATCCCGGAAGAAAAGCAAGTTCAAATAAAATAAAAAAATATAAATTTTACCACGGATCAATTTCATTACCTCAAGTTTAATTTTTTGAATTGAGCCGTTCAAAAAATCAAAGGGGATGGGGACATTAAAGGAAAGCACTCCGCGACGAAACTTTTTATCATTCCATAGCTTTAATTTATAATCTTGATCGGTCCTCGATATACCGTTTAAAGCGTCGATATCAGGATACCGGGAAAACGTCCTGCTTGCATGGAGGTGATGATCCAGAATGGATTTACCTAATTTTATTCTAATGCGCCAAAACTACCGAGTTAATCTACTTGACAGCGTTCCTCACATTCGTAATCAGCATTGCAAATCACCGGCCTACTTGTGACTCGGAAAAAAGAAAAAAAAGCGAATAAAACCCTCGGCATCAGCCACGGTGTCGGAAGCATTCTCGTTTGAATGACTATTGACAAAAGCAAAACGCCGGGGTCAGCGTTTCCTCTTCACTCCTGTCTCGTTGAGCTCGTCCCGAATCGTGTCGTATCATCAATCGGCAAACGGGATGCTGCTGCTACAGCTACAATGTCTCTTTCTCCCCTTTTTTAGCCGTTTTTGTCCGTGTTCCCTAACACGCTAGCTCGAATCGATACGGAATTTACATTGTACTCTGGCTGCAGCCAGCAATTCGTTTACTTTGCAATCCTTTTAGCGCTTTCGTGCTCGATTTTTCGCGGGGGATCCGGGATGAAACGCTACGTCACACATAGGAGTGCGGAACGGATTCATCAAGTAATAATAATAATAATAATGACTTTTAATGACTATAAGTTTGATGTCAAAAAAGACAATGAGCTTCGTTTTCACTTTGGATTTGCTCATTCTTCCCTTTTTTGGGCGAGGAGACGCCGTCGTGTGCCACTCGGAAGATTGCCTCTTTGTCTCGGGATCATACTCAAAGATCCACGACTCGTCACCTGTGATTACGTTATTCAAAAATTGGGAGTCACTTTCACACATGTTCAAATTTTCTTGGCACACTTCCACTCGCCGCAATTTCTGGTCGTCAGTGAGCACTTTTGGGACCATCTTCGCGCACACGAGTCACATTATCGGTGTTTGTCGGAGTCGGTCTTCATCAGCGACCTCTTCCCGGCCCCCCAAAAAGGCCTGGTGCCACCGAAACACACCACTTCTTCCTAAAGCAACACCTGGGTAAGCCTGCTTGGTCATATCAAACGTCTCTGTTGCAGATTTCCCGAGTTTCACACAGAATTTAATCGCGTACCTCTGTTCTAACGAACGCTGCATTTTCGGCTTGCACCATTCACAGAAACACGTCGCCTGAAAATGCCTGTCCTGACTCTCCAAGTGCTCGAAGACAACTGGAATGCCCTTTATCGAATCCAGTCATGGCTTAAGAAAATGAGTCCTATTACTTTGCGGACAAACCCTGTACATGAGTGCTCGAATACATTCCTGTCTATCGCTTCATTAACAGCACTAAAACAGACAGCCAAAGGTTGAAATCCTCTGCGTGGAACTATTAAGTAATATTCTTGTTCTTCCAGATTTATTTCAGAGGGCAATCTGATAATCTACACAACAAGAACATTGTCAAGACTAATGCCCGTCCTTTGAATGGACCATCAATATTAATCTCTGGTAGTCCGATGGATTACAGCAATATATCTGATAAAAAATAAACGGAACGGTAGGCCGGTAAAAAACAACTTTTATAGACAGGGGCTCGCATGCTAGGGCCATAACTTTACACAGTTGATAAATTAGTAGCTTTTCCTGTTGGAACAAACTTCATCAAAGAATTCCTTGGCCTATTTCCTGTATTATCATATAAACAGCGGTATTCATACCTCTCACTGCTATAAAACTTGAAAAATGCTTAAAAAGTAGTGATGCTGTGCACAAATTATCTCCACTACTTCTTATCTCTGTCTCCCTAGTTTCACCGATGAGCGTGCCCGGTCTTCGTAATGGCATGGCTCGCTCTGGCTAACGAAAAAATGTTTATGGACTAATTGTATGGGCCTGTTTGACTGACTTGATCCGTCTAGTTTTTCTATTAAACATGTTAGTAACTATTTTTTTTTCTTATGGATTGTTACCAAAAAGCTACACACTGTGTTAGTCGGGAACGTGAGCCCAACATGCATACCGAATTGTCCACCCTGTACTAGGAGTTGCACGCTGACACTTAAACTGGATGTAAACGGCTTTTTATAAGTTTATGATGAACTTATTCTTTTTTGCTATAAACCTCTTGTAGATAGCCATTAAGCACCTACTTGATGACAGACTCTACCAAAAAGTACATAGATATTGCTCGTTTCCAAACATTCATTCATTTACTTGCCGTTCATCAGAACCATTATGGTACCCTACATTAATATTCCCACAAAACCATTCAGAATTTTTGATATCCATAAATCCATAAAGTTGAATATTTTTCGTTGTTCAGGAAGTGAACAAACATCCACACTATATTCACAGCGATTAAGAAATTCCCAAATATATTCAATTCAAACTCAAATTCAAATTCAAATTCAAAATACATGTATATGCTTTAACGCTACCAGCAAACCTCCAAAAATACTACAAATTTGCCATATTTTTCATTTTTCATGAGTACACATTCTAGGTTATATTTATATTAGACATTATTGGAATACAGCTGATCGAGTGACACATGTGTGGGATCTGTCAACCCTTGGTCCCAGTCACAAAACATATACTCGGAAGAAGGATTAATTCCATGCTATTCAATGACAACACGGTGACATGTGTAGTTGTCAGCGGCCATTTTGTGAGGGTGCGACATGGTTGCCAGATTGTGCATTAATATCCCGTTTCACCCTCCTGGTCCCAGCGGAGTAAGTTCCGCCAACTGTTAAAATATACTCTACTATGATTTATAAGAGTATTCGTGGAATTTTTCCCAAAATCGTTGCACAACACTTGTAAATACAAGTGAAAATTTAAAATTAATCATGATACCTAGTAAATTTACATGAAAAATCCTCTGTATGTAGGTATATAAGAGCTTTCTTACATTTGTTCATCAATTTGATGATACAACACGTCTGCTAAAAATAATCATAATCAGAATAGTAAACTATGACGAAGGTCCACTGTACGTAAGAATTTTCAGATACTTCATTTGCAATTTGACAACAGACCATGACGGTGTTCACATTTTTCAAATATTCTTCAAGAAGTGTTATCAGTCTAGCTCCAACTATCATAAGTACTATGTTTGTATTCCTATTTTGAATTCGAAACCAGCAAATGTAAAAGATTCATGTCGCACCCTTCATCACGGGACGTGATCGTCGTTAGACTTGGCAACCCTGCGAGTGACAGATAGATAACCCCACCAGTAAAAAAGGCAATCAAACAATAAACATTAATAGTTTTTATGATTTTTGGACTTAAAAGACATTATTTGTGAGACATTTTTCATAATTTTTTGTCTATGTCCACAGTAATTTCATTATGCATCATTGAGATGTAGGGATTGACCCGTCTTACACATATTATCTGTGTTTTAGGATGGAGAGGACATCATGTTTTTATTGCTTTGAAGAGATTCATTAACCTATTATGTATGTAATGATATGTTATGTAATGATAACTTTCAGTATATTGAAGTTGGTAAATTCGAGATTGCCATGCATTAACAAACGTCCAAATCTGCCAAATTTAACAACTAGAAAATCGACCTATTACTTGCCGCATTCCCATTCGCTGAGGGGATAACGGATTGTCAAATGTAAACCTATAACCTATAAGGGCTTATGATTTTCTGAGGGATTATCTTTCAAACAGACCACAACTGCTAAAACTGAATAACATAACAAGCAATGAAAAAATAATAAAGATTGGTGTCCCGCAGGGTACTGTTTTGGGACCGCTTCTTTTTATAATTTATATCAATACGTTGCTAAAGCAGGACGCGAGCGGTTTCACTATTTCTTATGCTGATGATACTGTACTTCTCTTTGGTTCCAGTTGGGAGGATGTAAAGTGTAAAACAGTGAATGGTCTAGGTATGGTAAAATACTGGTTAAAAGAGAGTAAACTAACTTTGAATTTATCTAAGACAAACTATATTGCGTTTTCGTTGACCAACAAAAACAGACCAAATTACAGCACTATTATGTTGGATGATAATTATTCTGCTCAGGAAGTGTCTCAAACTAAATACCTTGGAATCATTGTTGACCAACATTTAAAGTGGCAGCCGCATGTTGATTATGTATCGAGTAGAGTTAGAAAATTAATCCATAAATTTTATCTACTGCGTGACTTTCTCGATAAAAAAAATTGAATAACAGTTTATAAAGCATTTGTTGAATCTATAATTAGATATGGGATATTAGTATGGAGGGGATTGTATAATAATGCTCTACATAAACTCATTATTATTCAGAAATATATTATTAAAATTATTTTTAAGAAAGATAAAAGATTCCCCACTAATAAACTTTTTTACAACCGATGTGTGTAATATTAGATCCTTGTACGTGATGACAGTATCTACTTTTATTTATAGAAATAAAAAACTACAGAAACAAGTAAGTCATAACTACTGTACTCGTGCAAATGTGGGCAGGCAAACAGAAATTCCCAAGAATAAGAATAACCTAAACTTAAGATACATAACGTATATAGGACCAAAGATATATAACATTCTACCAGAACACTTGAAAAATATTAAAACATTTAGCAACAGCTGCAGAGAATATATTTTTGAGAATACTGCACAATTTGAAAGGTTTTTCTAATGATTTTTTGTATCATACATAGTATGATTGAACTATTGTTCGGGATATTGAGGTTGATATTTTTTTTATTGGATTTTATAATCCAATAAATAGCATTTTCTTTTCATTTGTAAGTCCGGATGATGAAAGCACATACAGATGGTTTGAACCATCTTTCTGTCGTCAGGATGTGCTTGATGAAGAGTAATTATATTGTTGTGTTATATATTTATGTGTATTTATAATTTTTCGTATATGGTCTTTATTGGATGTTATTGTTATTAAATAAAAAAAAATTAAAAAAAATATCAAAATACATGAAAGTTGTCCTGTTTTTTCTGTATAAAATCATCATGTTGGAATCAAGAAGTGGTCTTGTTTATAATACAGTCAAATTTTCACGATTTTATTCAATGTTTTAATAGAAATCGCTGACATTCTGAGACCTTTGACAGCTTCTGTCAAATTGCATTTCGATAAGGTATTTTCCCATTGGTCCATTATATTAATGTTGGTCAAATCGGCCCTCAGCATCACAGAATCAAATTACAATTCCGTAACACGCTTCGTTTCCCGTTCCTCAAGATAACAAATACAGTGCTTTCCGTTAATGTCCCCTCCCATTTGATTTTTTGAACGGATCAAATCAAAAAATTAAAGCTTGAGGTAATGAAATTGTTGCGTGGTTACCATATTTTAGAGTAAAATTGACAGATGAAAATGTCAAGACGGCCGCTAGGCGCCATCTTGGAAAAAAACGGGGGTCTTGTGGTACATCATTTTGAAGCTCCTAACGAGTACTTCATAACCCTAGAATATAAAGTCAATACCTTTACCTAGTACAAAATGGTGGTACATTTAATAATTACTTGAACAAAAACCCACTAACATGCATATCTCTACAGATAATTGTAATTTCCTGCCGTATCCACAGCAACAGCGATAAAAACTTGTTTTGTTATTCTTTGTTGACAGTGAGAAGAATATCAGTACGAAGACAAACATCATCGTACAGTTAAAATATTATTATTTAATTTTCGGTTTTAGTGCTAGATACTGTTTGAACTATTTTTAAAATGGTCAATTCTCGACCATTGGAAGAAAAAATCGAAGCGATTTTTATTTATCGTGCGACGCGTAACTATCACGAGACCGAAAGGATTTTTAATGATCGTTTCCAGAATCGTCCTACCTGTAGAAAGGTAGGGAACTTGTATCTAAATTTACAGCTACTGGTAGTGTAAACAACAAAAATCCCCCTGGCCATCCCGGAAGACAAGCAAGTTCAAATAAAATAAAAAAATATAAATTTTACCACGCATCAATTTCATTAGCTCAAGTTTAATTTTTTTGAATTGATCCGTTCTAAAAGTCAGAGGGGATGGGGACATTAAAGGAAAGCACTGTATATCCAAATTTCTCATCACAGCCTCATAACCCTGTGAATATGTCGAGGACGTGTAATAATGATCCTAACTCTTTTTGTTATGTCTGCGGAGAACTAACATTCAAAAAACAACGACGAAATTTTACGAATCTTGTGTTGGAGTGTTATCACCAATGTTTTGGTTTTTCTGTCGCCCATCAAGACAAATCCTGGGCCCCTCATGTCTGTTGCATAACGTGTGTGAAAAATTTAACTGACTGGAAGAAAGGTGCACGACCTATGCCGTTTGCTGTACCCATGATATGGACTGAACAGCGAGATCACGTTTCAGATTGCTATTTTTGTCTCACAGACATAAAAGGTATAAATTACAAGAAAAAAACCACAGTTATTTACCCTAACTTATCTTCGGCTATAAGACCAGTCTCTCATTGTAAAAAATTGCCAGAACTAATACCAGTTGCAACTACGTCTGTTGGGAACAATTCACAACCGTCCACTTCAGGTGAATGTGTAGACGAGGACAATGACTTTG